CACCACAGATGCATACACCATATATTCACCACACACACACCACACACACACCATACACACACCACATGCACATACCAGACACACTTACACCACACAAAGCATACACATACACACAACACATATATATCACACATATACACTGCACATACACCATACACACACCACACACACCATACACATACTACACATACCATATACACACATACTATACACACACTATATACACACACCACACACACATGTACCACACATACCAAACACATACACCACACACACATGTACCACACATACCAAACACATACACCACACACACATGCACCACACATACACTACATATACCCACACCACACACACCATATACACACATACTATATACACATACCATATACACACATGACACACACATACACCACACATACAAAACACATATACACACCATACACATCCATATCACACATACATACCATACATACACACCACACACACCATACATACACCACACACATCATATACACACATCATATATACACACCATATACACACACCACACACATAAACCATACACACATACCACACACATCATACACATACAGCACACACACATACACTACACACACACCACATATACACACCATACACATGGCACACACCACAGACACATCACACACGCATACATGTGTACACACCACATATAGATACATGCACACACAAAATACTTCTAAAAAATCTGGTTTTAGAAGTTTTGGAATGAGAAATGATCTGGTCTCGTTGGTGTCTGTGTGTGGGGCTACGAGGTGGAGGTGTGGTGGAAGGGTCCTGTAGCGAAGAAGGTGGCCTAGAACAGTTCTCTGTGTGTGGCTTCATGGTGGGCAGTGAGAAGGGACAGACTGCTGCTGGTCTGTGGCTGCGACAAAACACCTGACAGGAACAACTTAAGGGGGAAGGATCACATTGGCTCAGTTTCAAAGGGTCTTAGTGCATCATGGCAGAGTAACCATGGCAGCAGAAAGCCTCCATCTGACGTGGTGGGGGCCCAAGGCAGGGGGCGTCTACTGGCTCCAATCATGTAACAGAGAATGAAGCAGAGCCAGGGCTGGGGTGCACTTTCAGAAGCCCACCCCTAGTGATCTACTTCCACCAGTCAGGCCCCACCATCAAAACAGTCCCCAGTCTGGGGACCAAGGATTCAGAACATGAGATTACAGGGGATTTGAGGTCAGAACCACAACATTTCGTTGGACTGGGAGTGCCTCTTCTGAAAGGTCTGTGAGTCAAGTCTGCATGGGCAGAAGGTGGGGGCACAGACAGGGCTAAAGCCCAGCAAGAAGACTGGTCTGAATTGGCGGCCAAAAAGTCCTGAGGGAAAAGGTGACATAAGGAAAGATCCACAGTATTAGATTTCGCTCATATTATTGCTTGTTTTAATTAGACCTGTGTTTATGTTCCTTTTGAGTGTCTGGATATGGGTCATTGTTTATTTTCATAACTAACAAATGTAGACTTTCTGAGTGATGATAACAAAAAAGAAAACAGGTGCCACTGAGAGAAAGAGAACAGAGAAGAAAAAGTCAAGAGAACGGGACTTGGAGTGCTGAGGGAAAACGCTCATGTGGTGTTAGCCCTGTTTCCCAGGAACCAGTTGACCTAATGGCTGTGTGTGTGTGTGTGTGTGTGTGTGTGTGTGTGTGTGTGTGTG